CAATCTCCAACTCATGCAAAGAAGGCCTTTGGATCAGACACTACATCTCCGCCCAAGCACTCCAAGCCCAATTCACGTGGATAACAAGGGTGTGGAAGCACTGGCCAAGAATCTGGAACATCACACTGGCACAAAGCACATTCATGCTCACTATCATTTTGTTGATTTCCCTTATTTCATTATGAATATGCAGATTCAATTCTCACTTGCATCTGAAAAGATACCAACATTAACCTAATTAGAGCTGGTCGCTACGCATCCGGATATCCGGCTGCTTTTTCAGGCCAAATGGCCATCCGCATCCGCATCCGCACCCGCTAGCGGGTATCCATCGGCCACAGCGGGTATCCAAGCGGGTATCCACGGATACCCGCCCTTTAAAGGGCCGGCGAGGCAGCTGGAAGTAAATCCTTCCAGCCGTTGAGGTACATGTACCTCGTCGGCTGGAAGGGTTTCCTTCCAGCTGGCGAGGTACATGCTTGTCGGCTGGAAGGAAATCCTTCCAGCCGTTGTAGGACTCCTGGGACGGATAGACACGGTAAAGTATATGTATATCAAAAGATCCCTTGAGGGGGAAATAAATTGCAGATAGGTTGAAAGGCTATTACAACTTACGGGTGGTTTGAAAGACCTGCCCCTCTAAATGTACTAAACAAATAACTAAGAGTCTTGTAATCAATATTTAATAATGTATGGCTGATTCCAAGATAGATCTTACTTTCGTAAAGTAATCTCTATCAGACCTAGATCACGTATCAATCTACTAATGAATCTGTTACAACTTCAGGTTAATAATGGAAACTGTGGTGCTGATGACTTGAGCACTAAACAGATGAGTTTTTATAGAGTTTGTCAATGATCTCTTCCTCGAACAATTTCTTGCTAAGGCACTTTAATCAAAAACTAGAGCTCCGGTACTAATACTACTACTACTTGTTATTGGTTAATTGTTAATGTACTACTACTTATATGCTGACTACTACTACTAATATGCTTCAAATTCCGAACTCTGTGTTGGTTTCACGCTTACAATACTGTACTGATTCACTACTTATCACTAACTCACTCACTACTTAACTACTAACTAACTATGACCAACTTACCACTGTAGGTTGATGGGGAGAAGGGACTTTCTGGTGGGGAGAGGCCCTTCTTTTATATTGAAGAGTGAGGTATTTCTGATGCAGGGGACTCCTTGTGAGGGAATAATGCTGCAGGGGATCTCACCTTCACAGCCTTTGCGCACAGCCTCCAAACAAATAGCGCAGCTTATGCTGTGCTAGGAACACTTAACTCCAGTCCTTGTCACATAATATGCATGCAAGGGAGCACACAAGCGCAGCATGATGTCATGCATTGCCAGGCAACCAAGCCGTCTTCTAGAACATTCTGCATAGGCAGTACCAGCCTGCCAGCCCTGCTGTTATCTCCTTCCACCCAGGATTTGGGGGTCAAAGCCTCTCCTCACTCCTTCCTTCCTCCCTCCGCCTCAATATTTTTCCTCCCTTCACTTTCTACAATCCGTACCCTGTACCCTTACGTAAAACATAAAGTACCCTTATTATACACCGCCCCTCCGTTCCATTCCTGGTCGAGACATGTTCTCCCACTCCACTCCTCGTATATACTTCCGCTCCTCCGTTCCATTCCTGGTTGAGATATGATCTCCCACTCCACTCCTCGTATGCACACCGTTCCTTTGTTCCATTCCTGGTCGAGATATGTTCTCCCAATCCACGTGTTGTATGTAATCCTGTCCGTATATACCACACCTCATCCATAATGATTGTTCCTTCTCTTGTAATGATTGTCACATGTATGTACCTATGCTATCCCAACACCTCTGCTGTATGCTTTTGGCATTGGAACAGGCACAGCACACCACACTGTTGAGGTACATGTACCTCGTTGGCTGGAAGGATTTCCTTCCAGTCGACGAGGTACATGTACCTCGTCAACCGGAAGGATTCCCTTCCAGTCGACCGGCAAGGTACATGTACCCCGCCGGCTGGAAGGGTTTCCTTCCAGTCGACAGGGTACATGTACCTCGTCGACTGGAAGGATTTCCTTCCAGCTGTCGAGGTACATGTACCTCGCCGGCTGGAAGGAAACCCTTCCAGCCGGCCATCTGCCCTTCCGGCCTCAGGTATCCGTTGAGATACCTGGGTATCCGCTGGAAAATCAGCGGAAAGGGCACATCCGCACCCGAACCCGCATCCGCTGGCGGGTATCCGCTACAGCGGGCGGGTATCCGCCAGCGGATAACGGATATCCAGAGACCAGCTCTAAACCTAATCGATTTCCCCCTCATCAATCTTAACCTTACCGCTTTCCCCTCAACAAAACTCGCCTCAAAAATCCTGATACCAGTCTTTTTTCTCCACATGCTTATTCAATCATAAAAGTGGAGAAAAGAAGACTGGTAAGCAACTCTCTCTCACATACAAATCAAAATCAACAAATAAATAAACTGAAACTTTCTTTTCTTTCTTCTTATATTTTTTTTTCCTATTGTTTCCTTATTCCTTCCAGATTTACCTTTTCGCGTGTCCTCCACATTCATCCTCAATAAAACAATACAAAACATTTAACTGTGCTTTTGCAGGTATGATTATTCTCTTCTCAATCTATTTCTTATTTCTATTTTAAGCTCAAACCGTCTTCTAATATATCTGTCTTATTTTAATTCTTTTTCTTTCTTATCTTTTCATTATCTAGGTGTGTCGCTGAGTCAATAAGAGAGTCTTTGGGATCGTTGTCTAATCCAAATTGTCATTATCAATAAAGGTTTGCTATAAAGAAAATTTGTTTTTCACTATCTCATCATCATTAAAATGTTTTTCTTTCTTCACTATCATCAATAAAATATACACGCTTATTCAATCATAAAAGTGGAGAAAAGAAGACTGATTTACCTTTTTGCGTGTCCTCCACATTCATCCTCAATAAAACAATACAAAACATTTAACTGCGCTGTCGCAGGTGTGTCTCTGGATCAATAAGAGAGTAGTCGGGATCGTTGTCTAATCCAAATTGTCATTATCAATAAAGGTGTGTTGCTGAGTCAATAAGAGAGTTGTTGGGATTGTTGTCTAATCCAAATTGTCATTATCAATAAAGATCGTACATCAGATTATCCTAATTATCACAATTTTGTCTGGGAATGCCTTTTGGACAATGAAATATCTCTCCTCCACATCTCAACAAAGGAAATGTTTGCTGACATGCTAACTAAACCACTTCCTTGTGTCATGCTGTAGAGACACCTTCAAATGTTTGGATTGGTGGCCAAACATTTTTTTTCTCTCTGTCTCTATTTGTACTTAATTTTTTTTTCTTCTTCATTCTTTTGTCTTTTGTCTCTGAGTATCTCTTTGTCAGTGGTGGTGATGCCAAGATCAATGATCCTCTAGCTACACCAGCTGATGGGTTGGTTTGAGCTAGATAAAGGTGGAGTTGGAGGAGATTGAGGGGCCCAAATTCTGGGGGTTTTTAGGATGCCCTCAGAATACTAGCTTGAATCCAACACTGATATTGAGCGGGATGGTAGGTAGCTTTAACAACAGGTCCTAGCTATTTCTAGGGTTGGTAGTCTGTGCGGTAGTACAGGTGTGAGACGGAGGTAACAAGCTTGGGGTTCAAAGACTTACTGTGAGTTACAGAGTCCTTTCACGATAAGGGTTGGCGCTACGATTCCTTGGTACTCAAGTACTTAATCCAGACAACGGCTCAGCCTGTTCGACGCGGTAACGGTGGTGGGTTTGGGAAGGGTGTAGGCAGTTTAGTCTGTGATGGGTATAAGTGAGAGGAACAGGAGGTTGGATGAGGTTTGGATAGAAAGTGCGGATAGATGCTTAATGTATGGATGGTATTTTTGATCATCTCTTACCGGTAATCCTAGCATCTCCTTTTATATTCATGGGGTTGGTCTTTGGTGGCATATGGGAGCCAATTCCTCTTCTTGGTCATTGAAGGTTATTTTCTTGGTCATGAAGTCATGACTGTTGTAGTCAACATTAGTCTCTTAACTTTTTGAGTGTGACATCTGAGGAACAGTGCTGGGGATGATGTGGGGTTCCCAGTACTGTATCCCACTGCTGCAGAGTCTCCAGTGGGCGTTTTTGCTGACTTTTCATCATTCAGTTTGTCATTTCTATTACTTAAAAGGACTTAAATGTAATTTCAATGTATTTTCTAATTGTCTTAATTTATCTCAAGGTTAAGAACATAGATAATTTATACTAAAGCAGGTCAGATCGTCCTGTTTTTAGTGACAAAGCTGACACTCTTTCTCATATCTTCTTCAGGTGTTCAGCATAGGGGGGGGGGGGGGGTTGGAATAGTGATTTATGTTCATTTTTCTCTTTCCTTTTCTCTCTGTGTGCTTAATCTCACCTTTCATCATGTCTTTCACTCACATGTCACAGGTTCTTCATAGTATAACTGGGCCAAAGTACGTGGAAGGATTCATTTCCTCATTCTTCCACAAACCTCTAACTCTGAACCAATTGAGTCCCACAGTTGGACCAAGATGAATGGGCTTCAAGGGTTCCCAAAGCTCCACCTGGCCCAGTTATTGAATCCGATTTATAGCTATAACCTTTACAGTAGGAAACATCCAGCCACATGAAATTTCAATAACTTTTTTTTCTTCTTCTCTTCTCAATTTCTAATTCTCCCATTTCCATGGCCCATGAGCACTGAGAGGTTGGGACATCAAATTGACAGCCCCCAGTACAGTGTGGTTTCAGGACGATACATGAAAAGGTTTTTCAATTTTTTATTTTTGAACAAAATTGACAACAACAAAAAAAAAAAAAATATGATCATGAAGAAAGCAGCAATATTAAGAGGAAGAAGAAACAAAAAAAAAGGATAGAAGAACAAAACAAAGTTTTTTTTTTTTTCAAAGGAGAAAAAAGAAAAAATGACTGAAGGGTGGGTGGGGGTGGATGAGGAGAAAAAAGAAGATAGGACATGAGGAGAGGAAAGAAGATTGGTTAGTAATCATCACCTCGACTAACAACTTCCTTGCAGGTTGGTCTCAAGATGATTGTATGTTCATATTGAGCAGTCATACATCTTATCCATTATTAATACATCCAACAAAAAGAAAGAAAGACAGTTGAGTAATAAGTTTGGGTAAGAAGTGTGATAGGAATGGATAAGATCTGATCACTCACCCTTGGATATCACTGAGTGGAGGATAGGCCTGGACGATACCTAAATTGACAAGGTTATCAAGCTATCCCAAAAAAGAACGCATGTGAATCAGATTCAGATCAAGAGAATGGGGATGATTTGAGAGAAAACAAAACAAAACTCAGAAACACTCTGAGAGATTGAGGATAGATAACTTACAGCGGCATAATAACGTGATTCACCGAGACGATCTAAGTATCGTTTACAGAACGGCAAAGTGTCGAAATGTTTATTGATTGTATTCAACAAAGTTTTAGCCCGAGCGAGTCTACATAACACAACATCACAAGAATGAAACAAAAATAGGAAAATAAGCACTACTTGATCAAAAGAAGCTCTTAGAAGGGACAGAAAGACAGACCTGATTGGTTTATTAACATCCGGATTTTTAGCATAATGAGAGCACTCTCCATCATCCATCACGTAACCACGACCGGTGCTTCCAAAAGTCTCCACCGCGAAATGATCACCCTCTTCCATGATTGCAGATTCGTCCGAATTAGCGACGATGGGGACTGACTTTCCGCCATGGATATGGTAGGGTAAGATATTATGACCCGTTAAGTTTCGGATCGACTTGACTAGAGTTTTTTTTTGTTATCATATTCTAGTCAGATCAATGTAAACCATCCCAAAACCTCCAGCCCATCTTTTTTTTTTTTCAGCAAGATCCAATGGACTGACCTTTATGAACTTTCCCATCTACCTCGACCTCATAAGACTCCATAGTTTCTTGGATACTAGCCCCAATATCAGACAGTCGAGCGTCGATTCCAGCTTCCTAAAATCAGCAAAGAAAAGAAAAATTGAGCGAGAAAAAAAAAATGATTTCTTGGAAACTCTGTAGGACCACTTACACGTATACCAGTGTTAGTAGCAGCTCGGACAGCTTCGAGTAACTTATCATACTTGTTATTGAACGTCATTGTGAAAGCCGAGTCGACGATTCGACCGCCAATCTGAACTCCAAAGTCCACTTTTAAGACATCATCTGCACTGAGCACTACAAATTTTCTCAAGAAAGAGATCATCAGGTTTTTCCACGAAAATTAACAGCATATCTTAAAAAAAGGGGAGAAGGAATGGGCGTACCGATGGTATCACCAGCGTTAGGAGTATAATGGGCCGCGCAATGGTTAAGACTGACTCCAGTAGGGAACCCGATCCCTCTCTGCAAGCCGTCGACCTCGACGAGAGCGCGGGTGCCGTCCTCGACCATCTCAGCGATCTCGGTCATCGACATCCCAGGCTTGACGGTCTGCTGGACGTATCTCCTGACCTGTCGATGCACCTCGGCAGCCCTGCGGATCGAATTGTAATTCTCGGCCGATTCGGGATCTTCTTGGGCCGCCAATCTCTCTAGTTCTCGTTTCTCCGAACTCGTCGTCCGATAACTGTTCTCTCCTAAATATGCGCTCTCTTCTCCACTGGGATAGTTCCCATTCGGGAATAATTTCGAGACCGGTACTCGGGGTGGTTCACTCTGTCCTCCCGCTCCTGCTTCTCCTGTTTTCTTTTTCTTGGGTTTCTTTTTCTTTTTCTTCTTCTTCTTCGTTCCATCTAGTGCATGTGTAGAAAAATGACTTGCTGTCAGTTCAAAGTCAAAATATGAACCGATAGAGATTATCTGACCCGCAGGCACAGCCCCATCCGCGTCCTCTTTACCCTCCTCGTCGTCGTCGTCTTCCTCCTCGTCGGCTTCGACTGGGACCACGACTTTCGGGTTCGGTAAGCCGTCTGTGTTGGTGTCAGGCGCGGCCGGATGAGCCGGTTTAGGGACAGGTATGGTCATCCTCTTTGTGGATTTGGTTCGTCAGGAAAGGATCTGAAGTTCGTGGTTGAGACTGTCTATGAAGAGAGGGAAAGTTCAGTACATAGTCTTAATCAAAAACAGAGAACAAGGAAGAAGATAAGATAAACTGACCACTGAAGATCGACCAGATCGGCTGGTTTCTTTCCCCACCAGACGCTTGACCACTGTCAAACACCAAAAAAAAAGTACAACTGAAAGCTTTCGATATGTATGCAGTCTCCAAGGTTTCACAGTCTGTGACATGCATATCAATCAGATCTTCATCATCAACAGTCAACACCTATCAAACCCTACCCTCAAGGGCACCATAGTAGATTCGAAACAACCAACCAAGCAAGCAAAGAGGAACGCGAAAAAACCAAGAGAATGGACGATTACACCGTAGCAACAGTTAAGTAAACTTCCTGACATCATCATCATGATAAAAAAAAAACACGCCTGACCGATCACCACGACTTGATTCTCCACCTCCCATCATACAGTTAGCATGGAAAGCCGCCGTTCCGTTTACACCCGACCTGCCGACCCATCTGCATAGCTCGATCGGATTCGCGTTATTGGCCAGTGCATTCGGGCTCGGGTTTTTATTCACCACGTGATCGCTCCATCTTCCATCCATCTGTTTCAACCCCTCCCCATTTTTGCTCAAGAATGAACGAAGCTGACTCTTTCTTCTTCTTCAACTCCTTAACTATTTTTGTTGTGTTCGAATCGAACTGAATCTGTGAAAAACTTGTGGGCGCCTCACAACACAGATTACCCAAGACAGGCTTCCCAACAACCGAATTGATCCCCGCCCTAATGGCCTCATTACTCACTGGATTCGGGGTGGTATTCTTATTCAATGCAGCCGGTGTATACGTTTAATCCTTCCAATCTTCCCCATCCTCAATCGTGCCCTTTTCTCTCCCCCCCTCAAAAAAAACAAAACGCATATTACATTAATTAGATCCTTCCCAATCTTTTTCTTGCCTTTGCAAGAAAGAATGATTCGGAGAGAACCAATCATGCGAGAGAAAAAAAGGAGCTTTAATGAATCCGGAGTCCGTAGACCAACTCTCAAGCAAATCACATCACATCACATCAAATCCGGCAAAACAAGAAGAACAATGAGACATCAAACAAATTGACAGCATAGTTCAATTTTAACAGATTCAATCTGCAAGAAAAACCAAACAGTTACAGTACAAACCATAAAGAACACTCCAAAAAGACTCATAAAAACAAATCAAAGAGAGACAAATAACATACCTTTTTTGAGCTTCTATTACATTTCCTGATAGTCTTCCATCTCTCATGACCAAAATAAAAAAAAATGACACCTTCCGATATATTTCACTCACAAGACCAACCACACAACCCATACTATATAAAACAAGTAGATTACAGAGTTTTTTTTTTGATGAGAGTTTGTATTTCAATATCATCACCAAGGATGAGTATCTTCATTACATAAAAGAGCGAGAGAGAAAGAGATCAAAGAATCATGAATGTCGCATGGGGACTGATTCAATGAACCAATGAATTCAACAGACAAATGAGAATAGAAATGATACATGAGAAAGACATATAACATGTATACATTCTTTGTTTTTCAGTTTGGTTTTCTAAAGACAAGAGAAAGTGTAAATATATAGATGGATTTATAGGACCATCAGTCAAACCAATCTACATAAAAGTAACACCCAAAACAGAGCCATAAATAAACAAATAAAGATGTATGTAGGAGAAGAAAAGAAGAGGATTGTTGAGAGATAAGTGTAGATTATTTATTGGTGATGAGCAGCAATACGCATAACTAGTCAATTGTATTGACTTTCTTTTGTTTTGTTGAGTTCAATTTTCTTGAAGAATAAAGGGGTGGGAGGAAAGGGGATGATGATTTTAAATATAGAAGAAGACAGAGCCAAAAAAACTGAGCATAATAAAAAAGAAACAGATCAGAAATATCTATGAAAAAAAGCAGAGAGAGAGAAATAGAAGTGCTTATAATTTTCAATAAAAGTTCACAGCTCGACAGAAAAAAGAGTTCGAAGTTAAAAAAAAAGATAATTCAAGCAAACCAAGTCAGAGGATAGAATAAAGCGATAGGGGAAGAAGAGGATCAAGGGACCAATCTAGCGATCCTAAGGTTCTTCATTTTGATCCAAGCGACACTAGAATGGACATTAAATTCGAATCTGAACTGAAGAGAACAATCGCCAAACCGAATCGATTCTTTAAACCGCTCGAACTCAGTAAACGTATCGAGAAGAGGCTCGAGTGAATCTGACTTGATTCCCTTCGTCGTCGTCGTCGTCGTCGTCGTCGTCGTGGGAGGGGGAGGAGTCGTGATAGTGGTGGTGGTGGCAGAAGAAGGTGTTGAGTTGAGTAAAGATTCTAATCGATCAAGCGACGTTAAATCTAATTGGAACCGTTCCAGGATCCGATTCCCACCAGGATGAGTAGCCGATCTAAAGTACTGAGTGACATCGACGAGATAATTATCGATGACTAGGATCCGAAGCTGGGAAGGTTTCTTGACCGGAGTTGACGAAGAAGAAGAAAGATGATGATGATGATGATGATGATAATCGACCAATTTGATCAACATCTCGTCTCGTTTCCAACGTGGAAGTGTCGGCTTAGGAGGAGCCGGGGTCGAAGTAGTTGCCGCCCGATCGGCTCGTCGCTTAGGATTATACTCCGAGGTTTCCGTGGACGACGGATGATCTTCCGGCTCATGATCAGAGGACGAGGAGGAGGAGGAGGATGAAGAGGATGAAAGCAAGCTGATCTGATGGATGTCCTCGAACTTGCTCGGCCGACCTCCATCCTTCCTTTTCGACGAGGTGATCTTCAAGACCCTCTGACGTACCTCTTCTACCTCACTCGACTCCGTGTAATTGATCTTCGGTATCAAACTCGTATATCGATGTAAGAGATAAATTATCCACCTTTTTTATTTATTGCGAAACACAGGGAGGCCTTCATCAGTCACACACACACACAATATACTTTATAATACTTGGAAGTAACGAGAATTGGGTGGCTTACTTGGATGGATCCCAATCCAAACTATCAGGACCATTCCTATAATCCTTAGGAAACACATGATGATAATCTAAGCCAAGCCAAAGAAAGGGGAGAGGAGGATGAGAATGGCTTGAAAGCTTGAAAGAAAGCAGGGAGAGAGAGAGGGAGAGAGGGAGACTGAACTATGATTAGCTTCACCGCCAGTGAAGAGTGCCAAGAGGAAGTTAGATCTAGCCGAGATATCGAGGTCGAAGGAGCGTTCACCATAGTAATGAGCAAACGAGTTGATCAGGAAGGTGAAGTGCCAGATCAGGATCCTCGACACGAAGCCCGCCCAGATCAATCCATCCAGCCTCGATTCTCGGTTGCTCTTTAATACCATCTCACTCAACAGATACGGTAATATGAAGCCCATAAAGATGCTCATCGGGACATAATACTTGTGTTGGAATCTGACCACTTTTTTTGCATTTTATATAAATCATTGATTCCTGGGTTAACAAATAAAATTCTCTTTTTTTTTGGCTATGATGTATGAGTGATTGACAGAACCAGCTTACCTGGATCTTGGTTTAAATCAGTTTGATCGATTAATTTAAGTTTTTCGTATTTAGGTTTTCTAAAGATCCAACCCATATGGGAGAAGAAAAGGCCTTTCTTAGAGTTATAACTACAGATGGACAAAACAAAACAAAAACAGATCAGCCACAAGTTCCTTTTTCTAACAAAAAAAAATGGAAAGAGAAAGGAGGACTAACGGATCGAATTCGGAATCAGTCCAACGATGATGCAACCGATGTCTCAAGACCCACCACTTGATGCTACCTTGAAAGCCGAGACAGCCCAAGAAGCTCAAGCACCAACGCAGGCCGATGGAGGCCTTGAAGGACTTGTGGGACCACAGCCTATGGTATCCGATCGTGATCCCAAAGGTGGCCAGTTGCCATGATAGAATCGTCAGCAGGATCGTCTGCTTGCTTATCTTCTCGATCGGCGAAACTCCTATCGCTCCATATAGTCCTATCAAATGCACCGAAATAAACTGTGTTTTTTTTAATCGAATAAAAGAGAGACACATCCAAGTTTGAGTTTGGTTTTCATGTTTAGTACATAAATATGTTTTTGATCCACAGAGAAAGAAGAAGAAGTGAGTACACATGAAACACGTGTGAGAGGGGAATAGGAGGTCCGGGGTAAACAGAAGTTTATAGATCAGCTCCTGGAGCTACAACAGTCTGAATCTATCTATGTAGTCAAAACATAAAGAAACCAAGGACATACAAAGATGAGATTGGACCACCAGATCGGTGGTTTCTGGTCCGGTTTTGATTTCTCGTGGGTTGATTCTGATTGTGATTCTGATCGGATTGGTGTTGTTGGATGTGTTGCTGCTGCTGGTGATGATGATGATGATGAAGAGGAAGGGGTGTTTTTGATGGATGATGATGATGATGGTGCTGCTGATCTGAGGGTGATTGAATGCTTCATGAAAGCTGATTTTCTTTGTTATTGTTATTACTGAAGTGGTGTACTTTGCTTGTGACTGAGTTTTTTCTTTCTTTGGGGGAGAGAGTCAGTCACAGGGAGAATGAGATGGGATTACTGGGATTACCACTGTGTAGGGTACAATGTAATTTAAGGTTTCGATCGACGGGGCGTCGGCGGGAAGAAGAAGAGCTTGGTTATGGGTTTATGCTCATCAGACTATGCATTTACCATCAATCAATCCCTGGATCAATCTGAAGCAAGGACGATAGATTACTGCCATCTTGGATGAAACCGGCCTTGTTGGAGCTTCCTTGTTGAGATTTCATGAATTTTACTGTCACGAGTACGATGTGACCTTATACATACCTATCGATGCAACAGATCAATCTATAATCTTTTACAAAACCAATTCTTCTTCAAGTTGGTTGGATTAAAATGATCATCATCTCGCTTCCAAATATGAGTAACCATAATAAGAGTCCAAGTCAAAGAAAAGTATGAAGTCTGTCCAGATCAGGAATGATGTGGATGTGTAACCCGCATCTTCCTTTCTTTCTAATTCTTCAAGGTACATAATCAAGACAAAGATTGAAGTGAAAACGTAGGCATGAAAGGAAAGGAAAGTAGTGCTACGTTACACACATGTGTGTAACCTACACACATGTGTGTAAGAAAGATGTGGAACGACTTTACAACGAGAAAAAAAAAGAGGAAATGCAGAGAGAATGGCAGAAGTGCAAGCATGGAAGGAAGGCAGAAGAGTCCATTGAATGTGCTCTCTATGTACATGTTTGTGTAGGAGACGATCAAAAGAGGCGTCGGATCGAAGATACATACAAGCTAGGCCCTCAAAAAAGGCAAACCGACAGGGAATGAAAAAAAAAAAATCATCTCATGACCACCGGCACGCCAGAGTTCCATCTCGGTTTCTAGGGGGTTACATTTTGGATCGTTCTAGGGTACTAGGCGCGACCCCGAACTCTTTGGGCAACGACAACTTGAGCTCTCCGGTAACGATGACCCGAATCAACGCATAATGATGAGTTGCATGTAGACATGCAAACCACAACTGTTCAAAAAACACAATCATCAGTTTGATTTGAATTTATAAAAGTGGAAGAACGGAGAGGAAAGGAGACAAACTTCGCGATTGAAAGTAGTTTTCAGACCGACACGATGCGGGGTTATGGCGACCAAATCGAGCGCCATATCGTGATCGAACCTGGGCCTCGAACACCCCTTTTTTCGACTCATAGCCAGTGATAATGATGATGAAGAGGAGGAGGAGGTCGAGGGATGGGCTGAAGGGGAAGAGGCTCGATCGAGGACCGGCGGGTCTTGGTTATCTTCACAAAAAGGCTCCACTGCGTTGGGCTCTACGTTTAGTGGCGATTCTGGATCGCCCAAATAGCGATGTTTGAGCCGCTCGAATTCCACCAGAATGGTCTTGTGTGAACCTACATATATATATTTCCATCCGATCCAAAAAAAAAAAAAAAAAAAATCAGTTCTAGGAAACAGGAGGCGGAATTGGGATCAGAGGAAGACGTACTTTCCATGGGCACATTGCGTTCCCTGGTATCATAATTGAGCACTTTATGGTGCCCGGGTAGTCCAGAGAGAGCGCACTCGAACAAGATCCTGAAATGGTCATGAAGATGTCTATGAGGACGACCGAGTTAGGATTCCAGACCGCAGCAGCGAAAGAGGCAGCGAGAACAAGGGTGATTAGAAGCGAGACGGACCTGAGATGTTTGCCGATGGTGCTTCCAGGGACCAATTCAGAGACCGACGAGAGAAGCCCATCGGAGACGACGACGTGGTGGAGCAGATCGATGGCCTGGTCGATCAGACCGATCGCGACCGATCTGAGCAGCTTGTACTGCTCAACCGCCGAGGATGGCGAGTGTGGTATGCTCGCACTGTGACGCGTGGATGGGTCTCCAATAATATCGGGTGTGTTGCTCGTCCGACTGGCACTACGGTCCTCGGCCGTCACCTCGCCCATCCTGTCGCTGGTTGATCTTCTTCTTCTTCTGGCTTGGGATTCTTCCACTTTGTATAATCCGATGGGAGAGAGAAAAGGATGGGATGGGTAGTAAGCCGTCAGTGGTTTTTCCCCCGTCTGAATTGGATATATTGGTGATCTTGGGCGACTTACTATTCTCGGTAGTGTGTGTGTGTGTGTGCTTGTTGATGCTTTTTCTAAGGGTTTAGAGACATCTTATATAAGAAGTTTGTCTTGATGTGGGGGTTTTTGCTAGGAGTGCTCTATGTAGTGACTCTAGGGGCCAGCCCATTCGAGTAATCAAGACTGTTTGCATATTTATGTCGGGGACATTTTTGCTGATGAGATAGTCTGAGTTTGTGATGATCATCGTTTAAGTTTAGAAAGGAGAACACTGATGATGATCTGGGAACTGGGGAAACCTTAAATCTTTACTTATTGTGTTTTGAAGAATGCTTGGACAGATTCACAGGATCTTCACTTGAAAATCTTGGATTTTCATTATTTAAAGTTTGAATTTTTATTTTATTTTTTCCTTCTCAAAGCCATGATGTCGTCATTGGCAATCACCTTTGTCACAACAGCCTCCATTGGATTCACAATCGGCAAGCTGCTTCCGATTCACCCACCGTCAGACTCAAATGGTCCAAAAATTGTCTCGATGGTGCAGTTTGGATACAACCCTCTCGGAAGAAGTAAGCCATCATCATCAAGTTCCTACATTGCTAGCAAGTTCAGGTGATCCATGAAAGTATCTCACTGAATCCCGGTGAGTATTTTACAACGTTGCTCTCGTTCTTGGTGTTATTCCTACTTTGCTTCTCATCAAATTCCATTACATCTAAATGTGTTTCCTATCATCCTTGCAACCCCAATTGTGTGTGACATTGTTGATCTTCAAGATTAATAGACATCAAATCTAAGACTCAATGCCAGCGTGGTGAGATGAGTACAAGCAACCGCAGAGTTGACTTGAATGAAATGCAAGCCATGTCAAGAGAGACCAATCTCAATAAGACTGGAGTCAGCATGAGTTGTTACAAGAACCCTATCGAGATCGATTCACATCTGCTGACTTTAGCTGAGAGGTTGCGACTTGGTGTTCACTAAGCTTCTTGAATCAAAGGTGCAAGTAAACGGTCCTGATCTCTTTCAAATCTCGGTCATCTTGAGCTTGAGTAATGACAACCATTTTATCTTCAGTGGTTAACTTGGAGTTGTTTCAAAATCATTTCCATTTCAAAATTTCATAGGGAAGATTACATAGTCTCCTTTCCTAGTTACACTTATTTGTTTTGATTCATTCAAGGATAAGTGGGTTAGAACACCCAAACCAGAAAAGAAAATGCAGTCGACCGGAAATTTTGAGTACATGATCAATAACGATTGATTACCTTTGTTTATGTGACATGTGTGTGATGACTACTGATAGGATAAGTCATCCAAATCAATCAATCCAGGCAAGTGAGTAAGCGACCAAAAAGCAATATGTGGTGTGAGTGTCAGGGTAAACAAACCGGTGGTAAAGACAAAAACAAACAGAAGATAAAGAAGTCATCCAATAATATCCTTGAGGTCGACGGTACACAATACCCACCGTGTCTGTAAGCATAATAGCGAAGATCGATTGTCGTTACACCTGTGATTGTTTTTCTGATTGCCAAATCTGGCTGGAGTTCATCGGATCATGAGATGTTGGCTCTCTTTGTATGACAAAACAACTGCTGAGAAATAAAAATGCCAACCTTTTGATGACCCGAAACCGGAGTCCTTCAAGCGCCACAAGGATCGTGCGAACCTCGGTGTATGCCTCGTAAGATTAAAAAGCTGTCTATTGAGGTTTTTGTTGGGATTGATGCATGGATAATTGGGGGGGGGGGGATCGGTATCTGTGGTGGTGGTGGTGGTCGGCTAGGATGCTGATGCCTGCTTGATCACAGCAAGGAGAATCAAAGCAGAGCTGTGTGGCAAAAACCAGCAGCTTAAACTGCTGCACAGCAGCACAACGACATAACTTTAGCGCTTGGAAAACATCGGTTTGTCCAAGCTTTATTCAAAACACAATACGTAAATACATAGAACTGATCACATGTGTGAAGAGTCTGCTACATACAAGTGCAAAATTGATGGAATGGTCCAATTAGTGACTGACATGATCATGGGGAGAGAGAACATCAGTTGAGAAACACTAGCGGGGTTCATGATAGCGTTTTTTGCTTCTCAAACCCTTTTTTTTTTTGCTTGCAGCAAAAATACAAAATTCTGCGCTAAATTTTGTTAGAGTAGTGACGGAAGACAACCAAAGATGCAAGATTACTTACAGTGTTAGAGCATAAACTATGTACTTAGACAGCGTTAACCTAGTTAGTGAGAGTGACAAACCTAACCTAGATCATCGTTGTACAGTGCCCTCCCAGTTGTTTATGGCACATGTATTTCTTAATTTAAAAAAAAACTATCAATGATAAATCTCCAATTTTTTGGGCAGTGGTGGATTGTGGGATGATAAGAAGGAATATGAAACAAAAAAAACAAAAACCAGAATTCATTACAGTTTAAAAAAATAAAAGGATCACTCCCTTTTTTTATTTTTTTTAATAATTTTTTTAAAAATACAAAAAAAAGTGGGGAGGGTAGCTGAGATGTGGTTGATAATGATTATGAAATAAAAAAAGTAAAAAAATTGAAAATTAAAAATTAAAAATTAATATTTGATTGGCCCACCAGAGGCCTCCACAACCAGGCGCATTCGATTGGGCATTGACATGACAAGGTTTCTGAGCTGACAAGCTGGGATATCATCCCAACCCTGTTGGATGGCCTCCTTCATCTCGTCGAGGGACTTGGGCTGGTAGTTTTTGACAATTGCAGTCTTCAAGATCTTCCAAAGGTTTTCAATCGGATTCAAATCGGGTGACTGGGGCGGCCATTCAATGGTGGCAATGTTGTTGTCGTTGCGAAAGGCTTTGCTGAGATTTGCCGTGTGTGAGCGAGCATTGTCTTCCATCAACAAAAGCTTATGATCTGGATCGATGACTGGCAAGGTTTCGACAAGTCTGCCTTTGAGCACCTGATCAATGTAGTCGACTGCTTTGGTACCGCCTGATCGAAGGAAAACGATTGGAATCTTTGTGGTTCCAAAGAAGGCGCCCCAGATTGAGGTTGATGATCGGCCACTTTTCATCGTAGGTTCGAGACAGTCAATTTTCATTCTCTCGCCATCTTGACGCCAAACATGGACCTTCTCTGACTTCTTCCCAGTCTCAAAGGAAGATTCGTCCGACCAGATGATTTTGGACCAGTCGGCAATCGTCCATTCAAGGTGCTGATGAGCGAATTCAAGTCGCTTTTTTTTATTTTTATCGCTTATGTAAGGTTTCTTCACTGCAACACGATTGTTGTATCCCATCTCATGAGCTCGTCTTCAGATGGTTGAGCTTGAGACCGGAGTGGCCATTGTATCAGTGATCTCCGCAAGGCTGCACTTCGGATGAGTGGCAAGAGATCGTCTGAGCTGGCGGAGATCTTGATCGCTATTCAATCGCGGACGACCACTCTTCTCAGCAGTTTCAACAGTTCCACGATCCCGAGCTCGTGAAACAATCGCAGAGATCGTGGTTCGTCCAGAGCCAACAATTCTAGCGACACGGCCATGGGACATCCCAGCCTCGACCATGCCGGCGATGCGAGCTTTTTGCTCGGTCGTGAGGTTTTTTTTTCCACGCAAACGTCCCATCGGGTTCGTTTTTCAACCTAGACATCATGAAAATCAAACAATCAGGTTTCAGTAGATGAAGAAAGGGAATTGGAAGTGAAATTAAAAAAAAAAGAGAATAAAAAAAGCCAAACCCAGGGGGCAGAAATAATGTTATACCCGTATCAGTGATGGTATGGTTGTGTCGTCCAAGCAATCGACGGACCTTTTGATGCTTGCGGCAATGGAATCGATTGAAGGTACGTAGGGAGGGTTGTGTCGTCCAATCGATCAATGTGGTTGGCAAGGAGGTATTGGTGTGCAGGTGCAGTAAACCTGTCCTAGGTTTTACCCCCGGACATAAACATGTGCAAGGGTACTGTACATAGTTTATAATCTGGTCTGATCCCGATCCCGGCCCCTTTCCTCACCAAGATTGGAGACCGGGATTTGCACGTGCCGAAGCTTACCGTGACGGATCTGTATCGACCAGACTCCATTTGCCTCCGTGCATCTTATAAATTTTATGTCTGCAGCGGTGCTGCAGTTTCTCGCGAGAACCAAGAGAGCTTCTTGCGAGAAGCTATCGTGAACCCCGCTACTAGGATCATGGAGGAAGCTGGATCAGAACAAGAGAGATGATCATCTAATATGGTGTTGCAAGCGCATCTGAGCACAAGCCAAAGTCCCGCTTGGCCGAGTGCCACCAAGGGTTTGGATTGTGCCCAGAGGGCTTGATCATCTGGAATCTGCAGGGGGCGGGACTTGGCTCATAGCCAAGTCCCGCTGGGCCGATTTCAAGCCCTGGGCACATAGCTGGATCATCGACTCTCGCTGGTACAGCCAAACATCTGACAAGCAGTAACCTCAAAGCGAGTGATGGTGATGATAAACCAGATTGGTCTCATTTGTTTTGAGTTCTTTCCTTTTCTTATCCATCTACCTTTACTCCCCTCCATCATGCCCCAATGTTTCCTTCCAAAACCAAAGTATCCAAGAAAAATTGATTGAATGGAGGACTTCGCGTCGGATCTGGGACCCTTGCAGATGTGGATTTAGACCCGAAAAGTCTAAAATTTCCCTGGGAAATCTAGCTTTCCAGGCTCTAAATCGCTTCTGGGAGACCCGCAGATAGTGACGGGAAGTCGTCCAATACCCAGTCAGTTTCAATCCAAACTAAATGATTACTTCAGAAGTGGATATGATTGTGGACACATGGTTGGTTTCCCGAATTAATCAAGCTCAGAGTCATCTGGGTCTCTAACTGCATTGATGGTGTGGGAGGTCAATGCACCCCTTGAGTTATGGGGTGCATTGACTTTTGGGTGGCGTGGCACCCTCCCTTGATTTCGGCCAAGTGAGGCTTTGTGCCAACCCCTGCCAAGTTTGACATGTGCCAAGCGGGGGTTGGGAGGGTGCCACGCAGGCTTTACAATTGGCCAAGCAAGCTTTGGGATCGGCCCAGCGCGCTTGGCCTGTTTTTGGCCAAAGTTTGATGTGTGCCCAGACGGGCTTGCAACACCACAGATTGCAAAATTGAAGCCAGAGAAAATGACCATGAGTAGCCATGAGTACACAAAGTGTTAGTATTCATGTATTGTAGCTCTCTGTTTTTTCTCAAACTCTTTATTAGCA